AATAGCTTACATCTTTTTTCAAGTCTATAAAATCATTTTGTAATGTTTCAAAATATGATTAAACTAAAATGTCAAAACTCATGTGTTTACATTTTTATGTTTTGGACTATTTTGAAAAATAATGATATTTTCATGTTTATTATCATGTCTACAATCATTTCCCAAAGTTTTATATTTTTCTAAATTTATTTGATATTTTTAAACAGGGTTTCAAAATCATCAAACTGCTTTTAATACCTGTATATTCATATATCAGTTCACCGTCGACCGCCACGGTCGACCGCACCTGAGTTTTTACCTGTGGAGTCAACCAAAAACTTTCACGGTCGACCGCCACGGTCGACCGTCAGCCCGAATTTTCTTACGGTTGACCGCCACGGTCGATCGTTAGCCTGAATTTTCCAACGGTCGACCGCCATGGTCGACCGCCAAAGTCTCTGGAAAATTCTCAGCTTCGAAAGTGGTTCGCGGTCGACCGTGAGATTTTCACGATTAACCACTGTTCACTCTAACGACTAGTTTTGGTACAGAATCAGATTTTTGATTCTTGGGTTTTTTGGTCTTTTCCTTTGGGGTTTTGGCTGAGATTTTGGGAGGCTATAAATACCCCATTGATCTTAGTTCTCAAACCAACCAAGAAGTTTTAAAATAAAAGTTTAATAAGGGTTTAAGCTTGGTTAGTTTGTTTTATGATTGGGGTTTTACAAAGAGGAGTTTACATCAGCTGTTGAAGAGTTCATCTTCAATATTTCATCATCCTCTCTTTGTGTTCATAGAGAAGTTTCCTTAACTCTATTTCCTAGCATTTTTACTATTGTAGTTCATATCAATCTTATTGCTAGTTCTTCTTGAGTTAAGTTCAATTTATACTCATTGTTACACACACCCACATTGAACTTATTGTATTTTCATACATAGTATATTTGGGTTGGTGAGAGTTGTAACAATTGAGTGTGAGCTTTTATTGTGTTCTCATCCATATTAGAGGGTGGTCATTTATTATAATTGTGCTTATTATGAGGATCACTTTGTAATACACTTATACACCGAGAGGAGTGTGTGGTGAGAGTTGAAAAATAATGATATTTTCATGTTTATTATCATGTCTACAATCATTTCCCAAAGTTTTATATTTTTCTAAATTTATTTGATATTTTTAAACAGGGTTTCAAAATCATCAAACTGCTTTTAATACCTGTATATTCATATATCAGTTCACCGTCGACCGCCACGGTCGACCGCACCTGAGTTTTTACCTGTGGAGTCAACCAAAAACTTTCACGGTCGACCGCCACGGTCGACCGTCAGCCCGAATTTTCTTACGGTTGACCGCCACGGTCGATCGTTAGCCTGAATTTTCCAACGGTCGACCGCCATGGTCGACCGCCAAAGTCTCTGGAAAATTCTCAGCTTCGAAAGTGGTTCGCGGTCGACCGTGAGATTTTCACGATTAACCACTGTTCACTCTAACGACTAGTTTTGGTACAGAATCAGATTTTTGATTCTTGGGTTTTTTGGTCTTTTCCTTTGGGGTTTTGGCTGAGATTTTGGGAGGCTATAAATACCCCATTGATCTTAGTTCTCAAACCAACCAAGAAGTTTTAAAATAAAAGTTTAATAAGGGTTTAAGCTTGGTTAGTTTGTTTTATGATTGGGGTTTTACAAAGAGGAGTTTACATCAGCTGTTGAAGAGTTCATCTTCAATATTTCATCATCCTCTCTTTGTGTTCATAGAGAAGTTTCCTTAACTCTATTTCCTAGCATTTTTACTATTGTAGTTCATATCAATCTTATTGCTAGTTCTTCTTGAGTTAAGTTCAATTTATACTCATTGTTACACACACCCACATTGAACTTATTGTATTTTCATACATAGTATATTTGGGTTGGTGAGAGTTGTAACAATTGAGTATGAGCTTTTATTGTGTTCTCATCCATCTTAGAGAACAATCATTTATTATAATTGTGCTTATTATGAGGATCACTTTGTAATACACTTATACACCGAGAGAAGTGTGTAGCAAGAGTCGGGGATCATTCCAAGAGGAGTGACGTCGGTTGACGAACCTAGGGAGAGGTTGTAACCGAGCACTTGAGGGAGACACGTCTAGTTCAACATTTGAGAGGGTGTAGAGTGGGATTGTAAGAGTGTGTAAGTTGTAGAGTTTTTGGTAAACTAGAAAACCGTATTGTGAGGTGTAAATGTTATTCGGATAAACATAGAAAACCCGGTTGTGATAGTGAAGATCTCCTCGAGGTGAGGAGCGGAGACGTAGGTCATGGGGATCGAACTTCGTAATCATATCGTTTGTTTGTGATTGCATTGACGCACTTATTTTTATGTTCATATCTTATATCGCCTTTGTATATTGCTTGTTGATTACTTTGCCCACTATCTAGTTTAGATTGGTTACCCTTGTGATTATATATCATTGCATATATCCCATAGTATATCTTATTGCTAGGATATTTACCTTTGTTCTTATTGCTTATTCTTGCTTATATCTTTTGTATATCTATCTTGCGAGAATATATTTGTATTATCTTTAATTGGCATTTAATCAGGATTAGATAAACATAAGACCCTAATCACCCCCACCTCTAGGGTCTAACAAGTTATTCTCTGCTAATCCCCCTCCTAGTTTTTAAATTATTTTTAAAGAGCTTTTAACATGTTTTATAGAGCCAAATTGACTAGTTTATGTATA